CCGCGCTGCCGCTCTCGGGGGTCTGCCCGGGCTCGCCCTGGAGGGAAGGGAGCTGAGCGCCCTTCAGCGCCGGACGCTCGGCTCCGGGAAGGCCTCAGTTGGTGTCAGTTGGGGCCCAGCATTGGTATTTTGAAGAGCTTTCCGGGTGATTCCCACGTGCCGCCGCCGTCCCTGGAGGCTCAGGCCAGGCCTGAAGCACCCCCTTTTCCACCCCGCAGGGGGCGTGCCAGGCCTGTCCCCCGACTTCCCCAACCGTCCAACCAAAGGCTGGGCCTGGGGCAGCAAAGGTGACCTGAAGTGAACTTTGAAGGTCTCCAGCCCTTTTTGTTTTGTTTTGTTTTGTGAACTTTACTTTTACTTATTTTTAATTTTTTATGTGATAGAATCTTTTTGAAAGCTGTTTTAAGTTCACAGCAAAATTGGAGAGAAGGCACAGAGATTTCTCACCCTCGCCCTGCTCCCACACATGCATAACCTCCCACGATCAGCATCCCCACCGGAGTGGTACATTTGCTACAAATGACGAACCTGCGCTGACACATCGTTACCACACAAAGGCCAGTTTACATTAGAGTTCATTCTTGGTGGTGTACGCTTAAATGAGTTTGGGCAAATGTATGGGGACATGTCTCCGCCATTATGTTACCAGGCACAGCGGTTTCACCGCCCTGAAAATCCTCTGTGCTCCGCCTGTTCATGACTCCCTCCTCCATAACTCCTGGCAACCGCTGATCTTTTTACTCTTTCCATAGTTTTGCCTTTTCCAGAATGTCACACCGTATAGTTGTAATCATACAGTATGTAGCCTCTTCAAATTGTCTTCTTTAACGTAGTAGTATGCATTTAAGGTTCCCCTGTCTTTTCATGTTTGGTAGCTTATTTCTTTTTAGTGCTAAATAGCATTCCATTGTGTGGATGTACCACACTTTATCTACTCACCTAATTCAGAGCATATTACTTCCAAGTTTTGTCAATTATGAATAAAGTTGCTATAAACATCCATGTGCAGGCTTTTGTGTGCACATAAGTTTTCTTTTGAAAAAAAATGTATATATATATTGGTTTCAGGGAGAGGAAGAGAGAGAGAAAGAGAAACATCAATGATGAGAGTCATTGATCAGCTGCCTCCTGCACGCCCCCTGCTGGGAAGGAGGCAAAACCCGAGGAGAATGTGCCCTGACCGAGATCTGGTCCATGCTTGGCCCATTTTAAAATCTGATTGTTTTCATACTATTGGATTTTAAGAGTTCTTTATATATTTTGGATAACAGTCCTTTATCAGATGTGTATTTTGCAGCTATTTCCTCCCAGTCTGTGGAAGGTCTTTCGTCTGTTCTTTCTCCAACATCACACTTGGTTACTGTAGCCACCTAGTAAGCCTGAGGTCAGGCCGTGTCAGTCCTCCAGTTTTATTCTTCTCATTCAGTGTTATCTCTTTCTCTTTGTTGATATTTATTTCTCTTTCCTCCTCTATTTTCTCCTACCTCCCCCGCCGTTCTGTGCTGCTTACCCCTCTCAGCTTCTGTTCTCCTTCTTAGCCTCTCTTCTCCTCTCTGTCTTTTTCCTTTGGGGAGCCAGAGGATCTTAATTCTGCCTCTGACTTTAATGGGGATGACCTCGACTAACTACTAAACCTTCCTAGATCCCAGGCCCCTCACCACAAAGCCTGGCACAGGGATTCTTCCCCTCCTTCATCCCTTCTCTCCATCTCCATTGCTTCGGTGGAAATCATCCATAGGACTTGACAAAACAAAGCCTTCCCAGCCTCTCCAGCACCCCACAAACACAGGACACTTGCCTCACTATATTTATTTACAGTTGATCTGCAAAGTTATCTACTTTTTCTCAACTGTAATCCTACCCATGTTCTAACTGGTACCAATTGGCTCAGGAAGCACCAAAAAGAATGTTTAGAAATGTATGCAGCTTGTATAGCAGTGTAGACATTCAGTGGAGCTCTGTTTTTACCAAGAGAAACCCAAAACAGCCAGTGGTTCCTTGTGAATACTTGAAAATAAAATTTTAATCCTCAAAAAAAGCTGGGTATGTGGTAGATTATATTATTTAAACACCCAGTCCACCTTCTACATGGGCCTGTCCTTGGTGTCCCTGCCTGAGGAAGGAGTGTCTCTCCATCCTGTTGAGGTCAGGCTTGGCCATATGATTTTCTTTGGGCAGTGGAATGTGAGTGGAAATGGCATTTGTCACCTCCGAGCAGGAACATGGGGTGTCTGGCACAGCTGTGTCATTGTTCCTTTTCCCTGTGCTCAAGAGCCACACGTCCCAGATTGGGGTGTTCCCTAACCCCGGGCCCCCAGCTGGAGCAGAGCCGCAGCTGACCTGTGGAATATGTAAACCATGAGTGACAAGTGAACCTTTGTCGAGGTAACCATTGAGATCTGGGTGTCATCACTACAGGATGACTCGGCAGGACCTGACAGAACACAGGTGTGAGAAATTCAGGGGCGGGGGCAGGAACGGGTGGAGGGGGTCAATGTGGGGAAGAGGGAGACACCTGTAATACTTTCAACAATAAAGATAAATTAATTTTAAAAATAAATTTCAAAAATCAGGTAGAAGTCTTTAAGATGGGTGGCTTCATTTAGCCTCTCAGTGGAGAAGACTCGGTTTTGGAGCTCGGCCTACTCATAATGACTCCTAACTGCCCTACACCTGGGCCCCCAGGGCCAGCGTCCCCCGAGACTACTGACCACCTTTATCCAACTGTGATTCTAAGGCTTGAAGACAGTGCCATTGGCA